TACAGCATTTCGTGCGTTCGCTATCTCTCCGCAACGCATTTTGTATTCCGCCTGCCACGAATGATGAGTGGTGTATGATGAGTGGTGTATGATGAGTGGTGTATGATGAGTGGTGTATGATGAGTGGTGTAGGATGAGTGGTGTATGATGAGTGGTGTATGATGAGTGGTGTATGATGAGTGGTGTATGATGAGTGGTGTCTGATGAGTGGTGTCTGATGAGTGGTGTATGATGAGTGGTGTATGATGAGTGGTGTATGATCAGTGGTGTATGATGAGTGGTGTATGATGAGTGGTGTATGATGAGTGGTGTATGATGAGTAGTGTATGATGAATGGTGTATGATGAGTGGTGTATGATGAGTGGTGTACGATGAGTGGTGTATGATGAGTGGTGTATGATGAGTGGTGTATGATGAGTGGTGTATGATGAGTGGTGTATGATGAGTGGTGTATGATGAGTGGTGGTTGAACAGCTGTTGAATGTCCGTAACACGGAAGTTTTGCACACTAAACTTCCTTTGACAATATATGCATATATATTTATATACAGTATATGATACTCCCCCCCCCGGATTCTAGGTGTTCATAGATTTTACTGATATTTGCAGTGCTCTCACGTTTTTGGAAAGATCAGAGTCTTGATTTTGTTGGTCTGGGGGGTACCATATATATATACATATACACCGTGTTCTTGGAATCATGGAAGTAAACTGTTAGAATTCCAGATCTTTTAGAATAGTTTAACATATTCTCAGAAGTAAGAAGTAAGAGTGCACGGCACTCTTGTATGGAGCCTTGCTTCCTGTACTTAGGGAATTTCTGAATATTTTAGAATAGTTCAATCTTTTTGAGAAGTCAGAAGTAAGATTGCACAGAACTCTCCCACAAAATCTTACTTCTGAGGAAAAATAAATATTGTAAAATTGTTTGGAATTCTCAAAGTATTTAAGTACATATCTTCACTGTTTTTGGGGCAGCCGGAAATTATGCGAACGCTAGCCGTTCGGTCTCGCTTATTCTGGCAGAGGGGTGAGTGAATAGTTAAAAAGGCCTTGTCCTTCAAAGCTTTTAGTGTAGGGGCAATTACGTTTTGTTTTGTTTTTTGTCTTTCACGTCACTTGTGATGGCATAGCATAATCCCCATCGCACATACTGACTACATCTTGAAGGTTCTATATAAATCTAGCCTCCTTGGATGTTGTTTTCCATATCGCTTTGGTTTTATGGTTGGTGTTGCAATAGTTGCTGTGGCAAATACAGTAGATCGATGACAGCACTTGCCAAACTGTGTCCGACTAGTCTTGTATTCTCAGGTGAGTTTTCTAGCTCATTCATGTCACATTTGTATTTATAAGTGTTTCTCGCGCTACCTGTTGGCAGGTGTATAAAATCATCTCGTATGTCTTGTGCAATGCTTCTATCTGTTCATATTTGTTCAATTCTTTTCAAGTAGTGCCACTTGTATAGTAGTGTATCTTATACTGTACTCATACGCTTGTTTTGCAAAAGCCAACAGGGCTCGTGTGGGCATTGCTTAAATCCATTTAAATCCTATTTGAGCCTCTACTTTCCCTTGATTTGCTTGTGTGTTTTCTTCTTCATAAAGTGTTGCATTCTGGGTAACATATCCATTCGGATTTCTTGCAAAATCAGTTGCTTTCTATTCCAAACTGCATTATGGAATTCTGCTTCAAGGCGTCAGGGCGTCAGCAGGGTTTCAAGGCTTCAAGGCTTCATGTCTTCAGAGGAAAGTCACCCGGGATTGCCAACACACTGATTTTGTATTTTGTTCATTGCGTTGGTAGAAGTGGGTTGTGACTTTTGCGCGAAGACACGAAGACACGCACGAAGACACCCACGAAGACACGCACGAAGACACGCGAAGACACGCGAAGACCCGAAGACGCGCGAATACACGAAGACACGTCACGAAGAGGCTTCAGGTCTTCAAGGCTTCAGGTTGTCACTAGGCTTCAGGTCTTCACTAGGATTTGAGGACATGAGGACACGAAGACTCGAAGACACGAAGACACGCGAAGACATGAAGACACACGAAGACACGAAGAGGCTTCAGGTCTTCCAGGCTCCAGGTCGTCACTACGCTTCAGGTCTTCCAGGCTCCAGGTCGTCACTACGCTTCAGGTCTTCAAGGCTTCAGGTCGTCGCCAGGCTTCAGGTCTTCAAGGCTTCAGGTCGACACCAGGCGTCAGGTCTTCAAGGCTTCAGGTCGTCGCCAGGCTTCAGGCCTTCAAGGCTTCAGGTCGTCACTAGGCTTCAGGTCTTCAACGCTTCAGGTCGTCATTAGGCTTCAGGTCGTCACTAGGCTTCAGGTCTTCAAGGCTTCAGGTCGTCAGGCGTCACGGCGTCAGCAGGGCTTCAAGGCGTCAGGGCGTCAGTAAGGCTTCAAGGCGTCAGGGCGTCAGCAGGGCTTCAAGACTTCAAGGCTTCATGTCTCCAGAGGAAAGTCACCCGGGATTGCCAACACACTGATTTTGTTGTTCCAGTTGTCACTCTCATTCTTGTTTGTTGCAAGTTCTCGATGTATTTTTCTTATAGTAGTACCAGCACCTGCTTGAGCAAGTTTTTTATCAATTCGTCTTGTTAATTCTTCTTGGGTATATGCTCAACTGCTTCTCCTGCTGGTAGTCCTTGATTTATCTTTGTCCTGCCCCTTCCATTGCTTCTCTGCCTGCCTCCTGAATAGCAACAAACCTTGCTATATTCCCTGCTACTCCTATCATTGCACAAAAACTAAGTACAGATTAGGAGCAATCGACGTGTGTATAAAAGGGTCTTCGTAAATTATATAATAATTCAGACTGCCCAAGTTCCCAACCAAGGTCATTTTCAAACTTCATCGTAGAGTTGGTTGAACATAGAATGAACATACAGAACTACCTGCCAACTCCAAGTGTTGGATCACAGAAAGTTCTTTCCCCACCATACGTAAAGCAACATAAGTTGTTGTCTTTGCAAAGCAGTATAACATGATGACAAAAGCAAGTTGTTAAGAAATGGCATCATAGATTCATCTATATAATTAAACCTATATTGCCGAACTGGAAGCATATGCACAGATTTATATGTGTTTTCAGAGATACACATATTTATAGACACATGTGATACATATAAGGGTGGCCTTATGCAAACACAAACAACTTCAAGTTAAATATATAATTTGGTCTCACAAGACTCCTCCAGAGAGCCTCATAATCAGCGCCCGCCCATATATATATATATATGCTATGGATTCCAAACCCTCTTCGCACATCTGACACCTCCTGAAACATACATCTGAAACATCCTAAAACTTAGGTTCTGGGGGGGAGGGGTCGGAGGGGTAGCATATATATATATAATATATATGGTCCACTGCCGTCCGGCCCTACCTTTTCTATGTTTGGAAAGACAGGGAGCGGAAGGCAGAAGATATGCACTCACTGCCAGTGCGTTGGTTGCAAAGCAGGTTGCCGATGACATTTCAATGTGACAAATGGCCCCTTGTGTTTACTGTTTCTACATCATACACCAAAAAAGGACACTACACTTTGGCCACAATGAAGAAAGGCTTTGCTGTCACACATGAGAATACAGAATGAAGATTGGAAAGAAGCACTTACATATACTTACATGCAAATCCATTTGACCTTCACAATGTGTTCGATGTTGGAATTGTTCTGGCCAAGAATGTGTCCAAAAAATACAATCCCAAAATGTCCACAAAAAATATAATCAGCGGGTTTTCTTCAATAGATTGGTCCAGCGAAGGCGGTTTTATCTATATATATTATTATATATATTTATGTTTTAGTATTTTTTTGCATTTGTGCTTGTTGCCGATAGACTGGCTGACCGAGGTGGCATACCACTCCAAACAGCGAATGTGGCAAAGGACCTGACATTTCGCAGCTGTTTCACAATCAAGCATGGAAAGACATACTACAAACATCCATTTTGGGAGTATCAGGGAAAGACTGCGGTGATGTCTCATGGTATTTTGCAACACTTGCGATCCGATGCTAAACATGTTTTGTAAATCTCTTGACCTGTACAGCACAGCATAGCAACATGCAAAGCAGCTGGTGCAATGCGATCGTCCGGAATCCTAAACAGGGCCTTGTGAAAATGTCAGTGTTTCCAAGAGGTTTTTCTGTCTAGGTCCATTGCACAGTACCAAAGACGCTTCAGTTACGTTTTTTTGCGGCTGAATGGAAGAACATTGGTGGATTGACTTGACCGCAGAGACTTGTAGCGCTCTTAGGACCCTGCACAATTCGTTTTGAACTCCCACAGAGTCTCTAGGTCGATGCTTTTGGCATTCTTGGGAGGTTGACAACAAAACAAAACAGGCCGTCAAGATTAAAGCGCATTTAGAACGATCAAGCCGGAGTCAAGCCGTCACGGATGGCAAATGCAGCACAACAATCTTGGTGCGACATTGCGAATATACCATCCAATTGTTGCACTGATGTGTGTAAACAGAACGTGCTCCTGGGAGATGTTAAGCACGGTGTTTTTCAGTGGTTTTTGGCTGAAACATCACTAAAACCTAGGTTTTGAGCCACTTGTTGCTTCAATTTGTTCATACCAGGCCTACAAAGGGGTAGAGGGAATACAAAAAACAACATACACAGAAAACACATACAAAAGCACACAAAAAAAGGAAACTAAAAACACGTTTTTAAACAAAATGATGGCAAATCCAAAAAACAGCAAATCCAAGTCCTATAGTCCCCTCACTTTGTCTCAAACATTTTTTTGTTTGTTTTTATGATTTGATGTATGTTCTGTTTTTGTTTTTTGAGCCCTCTAAACCTTTGTAGCACATCAGACACTCTTGGTAATTTGTATATTCAATATGCCTTTCCTGGCACAGTTGCATAGTTTTCAGGGCTTATACGACGGCTTTTGCCGAGTGCTGGAGCCACTGTGCTTCGGACAGGGTCGCTAAACGTCTTCCTCTCCTCAGCATTCTTCCCTGCAAGCTGTTGGCAGTCTCAGAAGGCGTTCAGTAGGGTTATGTATGTTTTGCTTAACAAAATTGAGCACCAAAAGGATGCAATTCATACAGCAATTAAATCTTAATTTGGATTGCTTCGTGCCTATGCAAATATACATAAAGCTCTTCAACAAGTAATGTGTCTACTTAATCCGTGGCTTTCCAAGCCTGTCTGGGCTAGGGCTAGGAAGAGCTCGGTCAGGAGATACGACATCAAAGATATTAAAGCATAGATGGAAGAAATAAGAATCAATCATAACATGTTACAATCTATTGGAACAATAGAAAAGCCCTGGGGATCAGGGCGAGGTTGCTGAGGCGAGAGTGTTGAAGCTCGAGTCTGCATATTTGATATCAATCACTCAAAATGAGCACATGGTGATGAGAGGCTACAGCCTTTCATGTTCAAAGCCAAACAGTTTTGACCAATATTGAGAACAAATGAATACAAATGACCAAGCAGTTATTGATATTGGACAAAGAAGAGTCAAACTGATAATGCTCATCATTGGTGTTACACATCGATAGTGGGAAGACGAAAAAGGTATTATATAGTTTTTGTAATTGACAGTGCACATAGAGATTGGGCGCAGGAAGATAGAAAAATATATGTTTTGCCTAGGTGTCAGAGCAGTTTTTTGAGCATGGTATTTACAGTGTTTTGATAGGTTTTGAGCTCGTGTGTGCTCTCCCAAGCACACCCGCGCTCCAGGACGAAAAGTACCGTGCACTGATAGGCTAGGGTGGAGTCGCTTGTTTCATTTCCTGTCCTGTGGTATGAGAACAGCCTTTCCATGACTTTCCGGTAGAAGTGCGACAGAAATGACAAGTCCAGTGCATTGTATAACCATAATATCATATTTATTTTGGAATGTCAGGTCTATCAAGTAACTTAAGTGTGTTTTTGGGTGATTTTACTTTTGTTTGGAATTCCTTCGAAGATCAGGCAAAAAATGGACAATGTGCACGATGGGAAAGTATCAATCAAGAGGCAAGAAGAGGAAAGAAAGGAAAAGGGCAAAAGGAAATGACAATAGGAATCAAGTCAGTGGAAAAGAGCAAGAGGTGGAAGAGGAAAAGAAAGGGGACAGGACAAGGAGGTATTGAGAACGAAAATGAAAGCAAAGCGACAAGACAGAGGGAAGGACAGGACAAGCTCAAAGAAGACAAAAGAAAAAGCCAAGGGAGCCAGAGAAAAGGTAAAGGAGAGGGCAAAGGAAAAGGACACGCGAAGAAGACAGGCAAGAAAAGGAAGCTGAAACATAGGGAAAGTAGAACTATATTTGAGCCGCGCGTGTCGTTTCCCTTTCTTGATGGGCACAAAGACCGTACAGCGGTTGTAGGTTTCAGTGTTTCATGTTCAGAAGCGGTTCCATCATCACTCCATGACCATGTTTCCATTCTCTTTTCAATATGGGACTCAAAGCCTCTCGTTTCCCCATGGTGCCATAAACTCAAAATCTGACAAATCGCTATTTGAGGAGGTTGTCCTGTTGAAGGCTTTGGCGGAAGCCATGATTCCAGCAGCAACCGCTTCTGGCAGCTGCTTCTGTAATCGATTCTAATCGTGTTCTCAAGAGTTGCTGCGTAAACATTGACTTGAGACAAACGACCTCAGATGCTGGGGAGCTTCTAGGACAAGCGGGGTGACGAGAAGATTGCACATCTCGAGCAGTGTCAAGCGCTGGTGAGTGAGCTCCAGTGGCCAGAATTCGGTCGAAAGCGTCCGTGTCACGCACTGCGTCTCATAAAAGCTGCAAGACAGTGTTTGATGATTGATGATCAGGCGCGACCATCTCTGCTGGTGAACACCTCTAGAGCTTTCCAATGTGGCCAAGCACGGCCTGCGCCAATAGGTCCAGGACCAGGCTGTCAATAGCATAGGTCTCGATGATGCCTCTTTCTTCATCGTCTGCATCATGCTGCTTTATTCCCTTGCCAGATATGTCTCAAAATCCCACTGAGTGTGCTAGGTGCGGGCAAGCCGACACAGGGGACAACAGTTACAAGTGGTATCAGCCACACCGACACGGCAACCATCATGGTGGTGGCGCCTGCCCAATGACTTTAACAAAAGCAAGACTGAATATGGGCGAACTCGTAACGGCGAAGAAGGGGCAGACTCAAAGCACGCATAGGATCGCTTGGCACGGCCTAGTTGGAGGTGCAACACAGTTGCTTTTGAGTCTTAGCATTTCCCTCTTCCAGCCCACTGCCCCCATGAAGATTCTCAGAGGCTTGGAACTCCTGCAGTGGTTTGATGTTTCCGACCAGGTTGCATCGCAACTTTGTTGCTGAAGAAGGTCCACCACCCCTTGATCCAAGGCTTGCTCGAGATCCGTTTACGGAGCGAGGAAGATGTTGCTGCCTTCAAAACGTTGCTCTCTCAGTTTTGTTCTTCAAAGGCTCAGCTGTCTTCAAAGGGTCTTCAAAGGCTCAGCAGGAGTGCCAGCAGTGTTGGAAGGTTGAGTCCTTGTCTTAGCTGCATTTTCTGGTCCTTGATTGCTTGCTTGGTCGGTGTTGGTTCGAAGACTTGAGGTCTTCCCTGTATTTGCTTGTCAGGTTGCCCGGCATTGACTCTCACTGCTGCCCACCGCTTCTGGTACTCCATTATTAGGCCATTGGCTCTTCTTCCAAAAACCCTTGATCTGAGAGGCCTTCTGACAGCACTGCTCATCAGTCTCTTTGGGCGGGTCGACCAGAACAGGTTCACAAGCGCTGCCATCACGCGACATGACAAGCACAATGGTGTTGGTGGACGTTTAAGCCCTGGGCGGCTCACAACCTGAGCAGCGTGCGTCCTTTCCTTGCCTTGACGGACGAAAAGCTGTTACGGCTGCAGGTTTCTATGCTTCATGTTCAGAAGCTGTTCCATCAGTCCATGGTTGTGTGACCATGTTTGCATGGCTTGTCCTTTACACTGTACCCAAGTGCAAAATTAAAGGAGATGCATTTGCGCGGTAGGTGGCCATTGATGGCTTGGGCTTGGACACGTTTCCTTTCCTTGTTTTCTTGTTTCCTTTGCTGGTTTGTCTCTGTGTGTCTGTCCTTTCTTGTTTGCTTCCTTGCTCCCTTCCTTCCTTCATTCCCTGTTTGCTTCCTTGTTCCATGTTTTCAGGGCGAACATCCAGAAACACAAAGCACACATGCTTGTGCACAAAATAGAGAAATAGATTGCCCTCCCAAAAGGATGTGTTCTCTCAAGCCCCTGACGACCAGAAACAAGATGTCGCGTGCTTAGATGTGTCACCAAGAAAGTGCCGAGGTTCTCCAATCGCGCATCTGCTTCACCACCAGTCTCACGAAAGACTACCAATGATCGGCCCACATCTCACAGAAAGACCACAAATGACTCTTCAGGCAGGAACAAATGTCCAAGTGCACACTGTAAAGTTGTTTTGGAAACTGTCCCTGCCTGGGAGCTGGTGAGACTGTTGGTGCTGGACAGGCCGCAGCAAGTCCGTTGTGAGCCGCAGGACATGTTCCACCTTTTTCTTTTGTGTACAGCTAATGGTGAGGCACATTCCAGATTCGTGATGTCCAATTCTAGGACCACCAGTGGCTCCCATGAGAGGAATCGATCCAAGGAGCAGATGCGTGGGGTGGGAAGACGCGACCTCATACTAATTGTGCGTGATTGTAAACATGCTGATGTGGCGAGAACTACACCGAAAGTTACACAACAGCAAAACAGTCTTGTTTTGCTCAACGAAAAGCATATACTACTGCTATATACTGTTATAAATTATAAATTAACCTGATATACTGTTCCAGTCACATGAAGTTCAGGATCGCAAGACCACTGCGCTTTCCGGTAGCGGCAGCAGGTGGTGCATGTGTGTAATGCAAATGCAGTGTGCCTACGTTGCATGTGTTCCATGTTCTAAGCATAAAGATTCATGCAAGACATCGGAATGCGCAACTTGAACTTGGATTCCTTCGTGGCATTCCTATGTTCAATTTTCCGCACCAAAGAGTGATAAGTTCAGGGCAGGGCGTTCTTCGACCTCTGAAGAAGATCATGAATCAGAAGACTCCGAAGTTGTGTGCTTGCCATGTCTTGAAACAAAACGGAGACTTTCACGGGTACGCACACAGCGGCAGGGGTTCCAAGCTGGGTGTTTCTTCGCGTAGTCGCATGCTTGCCCCGTTCGATGTGAGCGTCCATCGTGCCTTTGATTTTGTTGGTTTGTGTCGTTTGTTTGATGTTGTGTTTCCTTTTGGTTTTTCTTTGTTGATTTAAAGTTTGTCAACATGGATCGCGAAAGCTGTGGCCTTGATGCTCCTAAGTGTGCGACCCTAGTGAATCCTGCGAAGAACTCTTCAAACATCCTTAAATCCTTCATTCTCAAACACAACGACAATGACGACAATGCTCAAAATAGATACTGTTGAATTGGGCGGGTGGGTGTCAAGAAGTTCCCGGCCTTCGGTGATGGCTTTGAGTCTTTTGTCAGTGCAGAGTTCTTCTTGATAAGGAAGTGCAGCGGGTGTATAATATGTATAATATATATATATATATAGAGAGAGATATATATAGATAGATCTTTTAAGTAGAAGACTTGTGCACACATTACAACCTCAAATTACACCACCGTAGACCCCAAACAGTTTGTGCTTTTCAAAATCGGAACACTCTGCAACTAGAGCTTGCGACGTCCGGAGCTGGGAGACAAAGGATTGCAAGGCAGAGACGGCCACAGCAGTCCAGAGCTGGGAGACAAATGTAGACATAGGGAGACAAATGTAAAGGATTGCAAGCGGCATGCAGCCCAGAGCTGGGAGACAAATAAAGGACTGCAAGGCAGAGGCGGATACAGCAGTCTAGAGCTGGGAGGCAACTGCAAAGGACTGCGAGGACAATTGTGAAGGATTGCAAGCGAGAGGCGGACACAGCAGCCCAGATCTGGGAGACAAATGTCAAGGATTGCAAGCGAGAGGCGGACACAGCAGTCAGGAGCTGGGGGACATGTAAAGGACTGCAACACAGCAGTCCAGAGCTGGGAAACAAATGGAAAGGACTGCAAGGCAGAGGTTGGCACCGCACAACAAGAAGGGAAACAAAAGGAGACAGAAGGGAGACAAGGCGGACACAGTGACCAACAAGAAAGGAGACAAGACCGGCAACAAAGGGAGACAGAAGGGAGAAGGCGGACACAATGACCAACAAGAATCCTCATGTGCCCCCCAGCTCTGGACTGCGGTATCCACCTCTGCCTTGCAATCCTTTCCATGTGTCTCCCAGCTCTGGGCTACTCTGTCCGCCTTTGCCTTGCAATCCTTTACAACATGTAGCTCTGGACTGCTCTGTCCGCCTCTCGCTTGCAATCCTTATCTCTCTCAGCTGCTGCGTCCGCCTTTGCCCTGCAATCCTTTGCAATCCTTTACGTTTGTCACCCAGCTCTGACCTGCTGTGTCCGCCTCTGCCTTGACCAACAAGAAGGAGACAAGACCGGAGACAAAGGGAGACAGAAGGGAGACATTGCGGACACAATGACCAACAAGAAGAGAGACAAGAAGGGAAACGAAAGGAAACAGAAGGGAGACAAGGCGGACACAGTGACCAACAAGAAGGGA